TTTGGGTAAGCAACGGCCACATCTCTCACCCATCCTGATGTGAACTGGTTGTGGGCATCAAGACCTTTGTAGGCACGCATCTGTTCAGTGGAGTATACTGGGCTGCCAGACAGAACCAGGTAATTCACCATATCAATATACGTTACTGCGGGCAAAGCGTCCACATCTTTCTTAAATTCCGACTGAGGAATACAGTAAGGATCCACGCCGTCGATGATTTCTAACTTTTGTCCATAAATAATCTGGTTATTCGCTGATAATTGTCGCTGATATGGGCTCATTTGCTTACTGTCCGCCATGTTGTTTTGGTTTGTTTATAATCCAACATGGCGGCCTAGTGATTTTTGTGACCAACAGACTGAGTCATAGGGTCAAAGGTTGGGGCTACCTGTCTTTGTTTATTTTGATCTGTGATGCCATCGTCAAGGATTTCTATGTCATGTATCGTAGATGTAATGTCAGTGTCGTCATGTGTATTTATATTTACATGTAGTATTTGTTTACATTCGTCGTATTTGTCAGTTTTTCCACCAATAGTCTCTAGGGCCCGGTATGAGGCAATGGCTTTTTCCTCAGTACGGGTATCAGTAATAGTATGTAACACGTGTGCATCAGTAGTTGTCTGGCCATTGTTTTTTGGCCCAGATAACAAGTAACCAAACACACTAGACACTGCTGTCGGTCCAGAGCCTCTAATTATTTGATCACCAATCAGATCCCAATAATAGTCTGCACCAATTAATATATCAATATCGAAGGCCAGACCATTTGACACAGGGTGAGCCAAAGTGAGGTCACGTAAGTAAGGCAAAGTCAACAAGTCTGAGTTCACATGATGTGTGAGATTGTCAGAAATCTCTGGTATAAGAAGTACATTAATTGCAGTTTTGTCACCAGTCAATGTATGCAAATTTACAGTACCTGTGTTAAGTGAGCGTGGGTATTTGTCTTGGTGACCCAGCGTGGCAAGATTAACACTCTCTTTATTTGTAGATCTCAGGGATATTTTTTCGGCGAATTTCTGAGTAGCAAATGTGCGGGTGGCTCCTTCATCAAAGAGTACATTGGCATGTACTAAGTTCCCATTAGATTCGGTGGATATAGGTATGACTGCAGTTCTTAATAAAACTGGTCCTGTAGATTTGCGGAGTCGAGGAGTAGCAAGATGAACGCGTGTGTCATTTGCGTTTTGAGTTGAGGTAGATACATTAGCCTGGCCAAAATCAGCACACACATTAGGGGTTGTTGATTGTTGACGTGTACGTTCCGGAAAGTGAAGTGATGAGTGATATTTCTTATTACAATGTTTACAAGTAAATCGAGATGTACAGTCACTGACGAGGTGTTTTGACAAACAATTATAGCATAGTCTATCACGTTTGACAATCTCTAGACGTTTCTTAGCATCGGTGACAACATTACATTCATTGGGGTGGTGGGTACCCTTGCAAAATATACAAAGTCTCGGTTGTTGTGAGCGAGAACCGGAAGAAGGCGTGTGGAAGGCAGAAATAGGTCGTGACATTTGACCCCCAATGTTTACATCGTTCATACCTGCTTTCAGTGCGTTGATTTCACCCGTAATATCAGCGCGTAGATCAGTAATATTCCATGCTGAGTTGCCGTGCGATCTTGCAAGTTGAACACAAATATTCTTAGGTAGTTTTCGTAATATAATAGGAACCAAAAGTTCGCCGTAAGTAGATTCGTCCCTTCCGAGTGACTGCAACCCCCTAATATGACTTTCCAAGGTGTCGCTGAAGTGTAGAAGACTGTCCACGTCATCGGTCGGGGCTTCGAGCTGCCATAGTGCTTCCATATGTGCGCTAATTATCATGTGGTGTT